TTTTTTGTATCTTTGGTGAGACAAAAACATGGCAATCTTTGGTGAGAGGCAATCATGACAATCTTTGGTGAGAGACAATCATGCCAATCTTTGGTGAGACACAATCACTGCAATCTTTGCTGAGACACAATCATGGCAATCTTTGGTGAAAGAAAATCATGGCAATCTTTGCTGAGAGGCAATCATGACAATCTTTGGTGAGAGACAATCATGTCAATCTTTGGTGAGACAGAAACATGGCAATCTTTGGCAAGAGACAATCATGGCAATCTTTGGTGAGAGACAATCATGGCAATCTTTGGTGAGAGGGAATTTCAAAACCAAAGATTGCCTCTCACCAAAGATTGCCTTTTACCAAAGATTGCCATGTTTGAGTCTCACCAAAGATTGTTATGATTGTCTCTCACCAAAGATTGTCATGATTGTCTCTCACCAAAGATTGCCATGATTGTGTCTCACCAAAGATTGTCATGATTGTCTCTCACCNTGGGTCACATTTTTAATTTTTTAACCTATTAGATATGCAAACTTTTTAAATCTTTCTATTGTGTTATGTAGCCTCAGTATTAGGCCTTTAATGCCCATTGACAAAATTTTTCTATGTCAAATAGTTTTTGAGTTGTGGGTTTTTTTTTTAAAAAACGAAAAGTGGTCTAAGTTACCCCGCCGGTCTAAGTTACCCCATTTTACGGTATTGTAAATAAACATTTTCAATATTAATTAGTTCATAATTGGTTTGGATTTGAAATAATTATATGTACCATGTTTCATAATAAAATCTGGCATGCCAATAAAAATAAAAAGTCTTCCAGCGCACACAGTAGAATTTTGTCGATAAATGGATACATATTTACTTATGTCAAGATCAATTCAGATTTGAAGATCTTAGTGGGAAAAAGTTAAAAAAATTATCATTTAGCACATTCATTAAAATCAAAGTAGAAACAGAAATACCTGGTCATGCTCACACGAGGGCATTGTGAGTGAATAATTTCGTTTTTAATTTGGTAAATATCACTTCGTTTCGATTTCATAAACTTATGCGTGGAAAAAGTGCTATGAAACTTAGTTCTGTATATTTGTTTTAAAATATCATACATGGTGTTGAATTGATACATCAATTGCAAAAAATCCCTCTACAAAGAGTTTACTCTAAATTAGGAATTGAATTGAAAACAAAATCCAGAGTAGAGCGGATGCAGATAGGAAAGGATAAAACAAACTCAACTTCTAAATCTGATCTTTGAACATGAAGGTTTGAACAAGTGTTGTTGTTGCCAGTAGTATGTTTTGAACTGGCAGCACATTTGGTTGTCAATGCCTGAGCTGCCAGTTCCAAACTTGCATTGTTGTCTCAGCAGAACAGAACATACTAACATTGGAGACAGAGATATGCAAAAACTAATTTTTTTAATGTGAATTTATTTGTAAACTGAGTTATATTTTGACTGTTTACCATTGGCGTTCATAAAAATCCGAAGCAATGCATATGCTTAATTTGCGTTCAGACATTGTATGTTGATCCTACAAAAAAATATGTTCTTGATTGCCACTATGTGGGAGGATGTCAGGAACGTAACATATTCCTAACATTGACATACGGGTTTGTACTATTTGCCAAAATCAGTCCTTCATTAGAAGGCACCAATCTCAAGCCATGTGGATTGTTGCCTTCTACCATAGTGGCAATTAACCCAATGATTTTTTTGGAATCAGTTTATTTCTAATTTACACAACAATTAAACCAATACCTTATGTACGACAATGCTGATATCCACGATACTTTGCTGGTCTAATTACATGACTTGAAATTAAACTTGAAGGAGAGTCTAAAAAGCTCTCTGCTTTGCCAATTGCCACTATGCCTTCTACTATTCAGTTTTGTAATTTATTTCCAACCAAATTATGATTTATGAATAAATAATGAATAAATATTCCTAACTATGCCAACTCTTAGAACAGGTTAGAAATCTAGTCAAATTGATGCAGATATTCATTCATGTTTGAACAGTGTGATAGCATTGCCACGCATTCATCTTCAAACAACTTTAGGAGCATGGCACATTTTTTTATTGGCATATAACAGCGCAGCCCGTGCACAGCACAGACTGATAAAATGAAAATAAAAATTCCCACGCACCTGGCACATCTTCCTGACCATGGCATGTGTCCCATCTTTTTTTCTCTTTCTTAGCCCATTTGAATCTTTGGCTGCTGGCAATGCTCTAGAATCTAGAATGAATAAAATATATAGAAATTAACATCATTATAATTTGCCAAGGTTTTGGTTTCTGAATAGGGTAAACGCGGTATATTCCGACACATTAAGGACGCATCGAGAAATGAAAAACTATAAAAAAAACGTATGTGTTACGTAAGTTCTGTTTCCTTCACGTGACTCTCAAAACACTTCACTACGCGTCAGCAACGATGATATGTCACAAAATGTTGCCATATTTATTAAAAAGCCTTTAGAATGGAAACCTACCAAATCCCTATATTCCGTCACTGTGTGTGGCAATATTCGACACGTGGTGAGTCGTATTGCGTCAGCGCTTCAAATTTAACTGATACGTAATGCCGACATCAACGTATTTGAATTCCTTTCGCTGTGTGAGCTGTATTGGGATACAACACGGCTTTGAATTAGAACACTAACGAATATTGAACACTACTTAATTACGTTTTAATTAACAGCTATTAGGCTTTTAATTAAGCAAATTTCAATTTTTGTACAAAGCTTGGAACGATCTGTATGTGTCCAATTCAAGTTGTGTTGGAATTAGTTTTGATGGGTCTAAATCCATCACTCAACTTAATCATCTATTAATTTATTTACGACTTGAAATCAGCAAATACAAGTTTACTTAAAGGATTCCTAATATATTCACAGACGTATTTAAAAGTCTCAAACACCATAATATTCTTCCTATAAAAACAGTTATTCACTATTTGGTAGAGCAAGGTCAACTGTCAAATTTAACACATTTTTCGATGATCTCACCAGGTGGCATGCATTGTCTCTCTTTGGATCTCAATATTTTCCCACTAGATGGCCAAGACCTAGTGTTTTTGCAGTATTTCGACACGCAAATGTATGACGTCACCATTTCAACCATCAATGAATGCATGGAACTAAAACAAAGCTTAATATAAAGGAAAAACTAGAGAAGTGACGGAATTACCTACGATGTCGGAATATACCGCGTTTACCCTATCTATTTATAAATATTGTAATAAAGTACCGTAAAATGGGGTAACTTAGACTGGCGGGGTAACTTAGACCACTTTTCGTTTTTTTAACAAAAATCCCCACAACTCAAAAACTATTTGACATAGAAAAATTTTGTCAATGGGCATTAAAGGCCTAATACTGAGGCTACATAGAAGAATAGAAAGATTTGAAAAGTTTGCACATCTAATAGGTTAAAAAATTAAAAATGTGACCCACGAAAAAAAGCTGTTATTTAAAGCCTGTCAGAGTATCCCCTCAAATTTTTTTATTTTTTTGGTTAAATAAGTCCAGGTTTTGATGCATTGTAGTAGAACTCTTCTAGTTACATATGCAAATGACAAATTTTAGGAAAGTGTCATAGTTTGCAAATATATAGGATTTTGAATCGCTGCATGCATTCAAATTCAAATTAGGTCCACCCACACCCCACGGCCAGTGTAGCTGTCAGCTCCCCTTCTTCAGAAGTGTGAAAGCTTTTGCCGGTGAAGGTGTGTTTTACGATCGGTCCATAAAGAAGTGTTGATTGGTTCAAAATGACATAAGAACAGGTTCTTTTGAATAACCTATGGATTGGCACCATGGCGGGAACTCATCGCAACTGATTTCCGGACAAGCTTTGCTGCATCGTAATCCATCCAACGTACCGGAAACCTTACTTTTTTTCTAAATAGTTGGCTGAAGACTGAGAAATATATTAAATGCAAGAATTTCAATCTAAATGTGTCGGCAAGATCTTCTGAAGGCGAAAATTTTGCCGATAATGCGTCGCCGTAGGTCTTTAAATCTTCGTTCACTCTCTGCACAGTGGTAAGTTACCCCATTTTATGGTACGCGGGTACTGGGATACTGCATAGTGCATACAAGGCAATGAAGGCATTGCAGAAATGGCAATTTGATTCAGTATTTTAGTTACAGTTTATTTAAAATTTCATCATTATTTTCATGATCTACTTCAAGACTTCTTTCAATATAAACTTGCCATGTGTATGATAGCGTTTGTTAATTGTAGACATGATCATAGTGGCAAAGCAGAGAGTTTTTAGACTCTCCCTCAAGTTCATTTTTGAGTCCCGTAACGCCATAAGTAGCCCAGCAAAGTATCCTGGATACCAGCATTATCATACATAAGAAAGTGGTTTAAATCTTGAGTAAATGAGGAAATTAAAAATGAACTGATTCTAAAAAATCTCTGGTTTGTCACTATGGACATGATACAGTAGTAACAGACTAACAGTACTACCCTTAATATAGCCTATTCATTTCATAGGATAAAAAAGGAACGGAAATTAACTACTTATTCATTAGCCAGTAGCCACTGTTTGTCGGTACCGACTCGGTACTCGGTAGGCTGGTAGCCTGTAAACAAGAGATTTTTTAGAATCAGCTCATTTTTAATTTCCTCATCTACTCAAGATTTAAACCAATTTTTTATGTAAGATAATGCTGGTATCCATGATACTTTGCTGGTCTACTCATAGGACTCAAAAATGAACTAGAGGAAGAGTCTAAAAAACTCTCTGCTTTGTCACTATGCCTGTACTGTAGCCACTACCCACTAGGATAGTGGCGCGGCAGTAGCTAGCCAGTAGTGCGCTAGGCTCGATCACATTCTAGGCTAGTACACTAATATCTAATATTCATTTCTCAATACAACAGTAGGCTATTTAACGATTTTGAATATATGATTTAATACCCGCAAAAACAATTTGGAAGATGAATACACAAATATTAAAAAAGCAGGTGAACTCAATTCGAGATAACTTACCAGCTAAATAAGACAAACATTAGAGAGCCGATAGTAATCGAAACACAAGCCAACACAACACCGTACTTCACTTTGCAAATACTGTCAACACTGAATCTTCAGCCAGACGGGTCAGTTAGGTAACGAAACACAAGCTTTTGTTCCAGCAATTTTATCTGTGAAGTTAATTTGAGAATTATCAGAGAATTTCGCATTTTCGCGAAGTTATAACTGTATAAAATTGTTTCAAGCATTTATTTGCTCATTCATGTACACTTTTCGAAGAAAAGGACTGTATCGTTGTTAATTTATAAGACTTTGATGTGCACGTAGTTTGGATTTATATTTTTACTCGCGAAACTTTTTTTTGTGGATAAATATTCGTATATCAGGATATTAAAAATATATATAACTCAGTACTCACTGCAGTGAGTGACAGAGAGCGCATTTTCTCGTCGACGAATACTTGAGGTCACGGACGGACGGACAGACAGACAGACAGACAGACGGACATGGCGTGCACAATAGTGCATTTTTAACAAAAATGAGAAAATGCGCTAAAAAACAACTTAGAAAATAACTTATTTATTCACCGTGTAACATGCTCACATATGCGCGTCAGAGATAGGATGTGCGAAGATTAAGAGTAAATAACTTCCGAGACGTTTATAAATACTAAATAATGATCACGGAACAAACTTTATTCAAGAAACGTGTTCATAATTTAGGAAAAGTTATAACATTCAATCCACAGATATTCATGAAAAATATTTTTATAATATTTTTCGGGAATAATACTATTTCTCATTTGCGAATAGTTCAATTTAATCGAATCCGATTCCTACTGCTAATATTACAATATGCGTTCATAAATATTATATATATCTGATTCACTCATGAACTGGTGACCGAAAGACATGGAAAAGTTCATCATCCTGAATAACAGCGGCGTCGGTAGTGACATCATCAAGCAGCACAGCAATGATGAAAGGAAATAAGATTACCATAAAAACAAAAGAAGCACTGGTATAAGTAACGAAGCCAAAAATAGGATGGGACTCAACCAACTCTATGAACGGCAAGTCGCTGACACCTATGCTGTAGGTGGTCTTTAGAGCGTGGAATGGCGTAGAAAATTCACTGAGGTGCGAACCAAAAGCATTGTGAATAGCGAAAGAAGTGGAGACCATGGCCAAAATTACGATTACCATATAAATTGCCAGAGCCGATAACCGTCTCCGCAGCGCGGATATAAATGTATCCAAGATTTTAATAGCGTGTTTCATCATGAGAAAGCGACACGTAAGCAATAGTGCCTGTAGAACGATTGCCCATCGCAAGAACTACAAGTCACGCGCCAGAGCTGCCATTGTAGGTGGACCCTAAGTTTGGAAACTATTTTTAGGGTAACTTTAACTTTAAATAAAGCTAAGCGTCTAGAATTCACAAGCGATGTTCAAGAGATGTGAGTCGTGTTTGTGCATATAGTACCATATAACTGACTATAGCGCTACGAAAACGATGTCCATCACCATCATCCGCTGAGATCTTACGAAGCGGTAGAAATAGAAAAAACTTAGCTAATGCCAATCGGTCTCGATGGCAACAACGAAGATAGCAATTAGTATTGAAGTGGTCATTAAAATCAAATTTATCAGATAGTAAGAAATAGGTTGGTTTCGCAGAGAATCAGAAAACACTCCAGATTAGTTTTGCTGACACGGCTACTGGGGGCTACTGATGAAAGTTTTCGGTTCGTACAAATTAATGTGATGAGAAACCAACCATCCGGCTATCGGCAGTCTTTCCCAACCTATTTAAAATTGCACCAAAAATTAACCAACTTGATCGAAGTGCGTTTACTCGTAAACAACCACAGCAGTGCCTGGGTCTATCCAGCTATTTTGATCATATAAATTAATCTGTTCAAGCAATTCGTCTTTTTCAACATTCAGGTTTATAAAAAATCCTAATGGATAGTAAATGGTTTCGTAGAGGCCGCTGAATGGTGTAATGTGTCCTTTTTAATTTCTGAATTACCAATCTGACTAATTTGAGTTGGGGGCGCACGGGTGGTCAGTGCGGTGCACTTGTGCCTCACTGTACGGCGCGTAGCATCTCTCCGCTCTTGGTTCTTCCTCGGAATCCTGCAGTGCAGATCGACGTTTCACTGTTTTGAGCCCTTTGTGAAAACTTCCTGTCGACTCAATACTCTGTTACGCCCTTTACATATTTTGTTCCTCCACGTCGAAGTCATCGAGAACGGGACTTGGTTTAGAAAATTAATGTGATCTGCTCTGTCCTAACTGCGTTCCCAAAATGTACTCATGAGTTGGTTCATCCGATTCGTCATGAAATTCTATTGAGGATTTGTCAACACTATACATAATGTGCATTTTATGATTCTGATTTATGTTAAATTTTGTTGAACTGTCCCTGGACATACGTCGATTGAGAGCACGTCTGGAGTCCGCACCAATCGAAGATGATTTAGAAAATTGAGGCATATCGTAGGCTATTCCCTGAGATTTCTTCAACGCGTCCGATATCTCTGGCAACGCATCTTGGGTTAAGGGCGATTGCGGTCTTCGATGTTCACACAAGTCGGACGACAACTTCACTGGGTCGGGTTATCGGCATGCTCCAGCACGGCGCCTTGACTGCCACAGAACCGCAGGGTAGGTGTCACCCCACCTAGCCGCCAAACTCTATAATAATAGGATCTTATCCCACGAGAAAAAATGGACGTATTGGCCGCTTTTAAAGGCATCTTGAGTAATTTGTTTCATATTATTCTCAATCGGTTGTTCCACATTATTCTCCATCGAGATCGATTAGCTGATACTCTATAGTTTCGTCACCATTCTGGCACCCTAACCTCTGGTTGCAAGAGCCTGGCAGATGTAAATGAAGATGATGATTTAACAGGCTGTCAGGATACTCATAACCTCGAGCTTGTGATTTTTAATTCTTGACCAATTCATTGTTGTCATTAATTTTCGCCAGTCGTCCAAAGTTCATAATCACCAGAAAAATCGCAATGCAGATTTATTTAGCGACAGAAGAAGTTATGGCTAATGTTTACGTATGCCAGATACCAGCCGGATGAAATTGTTCAACAACGAATCTAAAAACCTTATAAGAATTACTCGTATTCGAGCACGTATCCAAGATACTTATCGTAGCGAGATATTAACTGGACCTCCGGAAAATGTGTTCTGAGTGGAATTGTCAGGGCCGGCATTGCAAAAAGGGAATAGATGATTGGGCCAAAAAATATGTAATATATAAATCGGCATTTAAAACCTTATATTGAAGACAATAGAAAAGTTTTTCGCACTTGGTAATGGACGCAAATGGGATATCTGTGTTCTATGTATGAGTTTAAAATAGTATTCTTCCACTATGGAGACTTTAGCATTATTAACACTTTCGGTATACTTAAATAGCATGAAATATTGATAACGGGCAACGCCCAGCTAACCAACCTGCTGGTGTTGATATAAATGTAGGGATATATTTCTTCGATTCACCTTGATATTTTTATTTATAGACATATTCGTATTTTGATCCGCAAATGAAGATGAACCATCTTAAAATTCCAACAACCAATGGTGCAAAATTATATGTAAAATAACACACGTCAAAAGAATTATGACAAAAAATTATGATGTAGCAGAAAAAAAACAACAAACATAAATAGTACATGGGTTCAGGGCACAGTGTTTGATTTGATCTTGAAATGAAAAGAAATTTTAGTATGTTGTAAGAATTAAAGTTGAATAAAACTCAAATTGATTAAACAATGCTAGAACTGTAGCAAAAAAAATTTAACAAATCTAAATACTAGCAACTTAATAAGGATATGAACTGAAGGTGTTATTCATAAAATGCTTTTCTTGGTAGGTATAAAATGATTTTAAATTCCTACTTTGCATGCACCGGACGCGGGTGATTGAATTTAGAAAAATTCATCTGACACCGAATTATCGCACTGTACGGCGTGTTCGCGTACTGATGAATAAGGTAAATGTGAGAGTAGATTACTAGTGCGATAACTGTCGTCTAGATGCTCTGCTTCTGTAGTATAGAAGACTGGCGGCGTTCCGGCGCACGATGTTGCGCGCCGCGCACAACTGTATCCATGACTGTATTTAAACGCTGCAATATAAGCGATATGGTCTCGAAGTCTCTTTTGAATAATTTGAAAAAATTATAAAATCTAAAAATTCTGAAAGATGTTATCAGTAAGTTGCAGTTTGTGAAGTATTTTGTGGAAAAAAACTTTCTGAATCTTCGACATCGTTTGACACGCGCCGCTAAACATTAGCGTTAGAAAAATGCCAGAATTTCAGTGTAAAGGCCCGTTCACACCAGGGAACACATGGCGTCAAGCGCCTCACCACCGCTCTGTGCATCGTCTACGTGCGCTTCTTCTGGGCAACAAACGATTGACGAGCACGAGATAGCGATTCACAGGCGCCCTGCCTCATGCAACACAAGCGCCGCACTCAGTAGAGGTGGTTGCATGTGGTCTAGCGAGGTTGTCTGTATGCGCTGGTCCATCATTATGGCAACTAACGCCACTCAACTCTCTGGTAGAGAGGCTAATAGATCTTTGTAGAGACCATGAATGCCTGTAGATAGTTCAGTCAAAGGCGTATAAAATTCGAAATGCAAAAGAACAAGCTCTGGTGAAATTGTTGAAGTTTTAAGAAACTTTGTATACAAATCACCATTGACGCGGTTCGCAAGAAAATTCATACGTTGCGTTCGCAATTCCATCGTGAAATGAATTTCATTGCATATGAATTCCATCTCAATGCCATCATCCTGCTCCTGGATGAGTGGCATTATTTTCTTTAACAGACTGTCAAACAAGTCCACTGGCAGTTTAGTATAATTAATTTTGGAAGTCTGATGCATTCGCAAACTGATAATTCTTTGAAAATGTAATTGTGTGAGCCTCCTCTCTTCTTTGCAATCTTTTTTTTTTCACCCAAATACGGCGACGCCTACATCTTTTCTTAACAGCAGCACACCCGAGAGCAATGACACAGAGCTCAAATTCGGAAACTTCCATCATCACTGACATCCAACTGGCAACTAATCTTCAATGCGCGCGGTCTCGAGCTACCGCGTACAAAAATAAGTGTGAACGGTTGTGGGCGGTGAGGCGCTGCAGAAAGTTCCTCACCGCCCATATCGTTGCCCCTAGTCAAACGGACCTTAAAGAGTAGTTATGTGCCATCATTAACATTTTCGTAACTTCGTTCTAACGTCAAGTTCCTGAGTTGAGTTTATATCTATTTAGACTGGAAAATATTTAGCGAGAAAATATCAAGCCCAGACTGGCAAAAATTCAAAGCTGTGTAAAATGAAGTCAATTCTGAATCAATGGTGCGGCCTGTTTGATTATATTTCGTCTGAATTGGTTAGTAAATTGATTGCTACAGCAAACGATACGAGTCAAAGAATGATCTGATTTGGGAATAATTAGGAATTGGATAAACTTGTGTTTCAGGTTAAGATAATGGGAAGAAAGTAATTACGAGACGAATATGTAAAAAGTTTGGAAGCGTAATCCGCGAATTTACAATAGAAGACAGACTAGCCAGAGATAATTTATTGGACCGCTTGTTGAGCTATCGTCAAGCTAAGTAGTTCGTGATGGCATACGCCAACAGCTCTAAACGTTGGACTTATAGCATGACATTTTTCCAAACCATTAACTTGCAAGTGAAATTTTATGGTCAATGCAGAGAATCAGTTATGATTATAATATGATTATACCTATATCTATATGATTATAATAAGCTACAGTTCAAACTACTGGAACACATGGTGATGGCAGCCTGGTTGGTGCCACAATAGACGAAACCTTCAATAAGAAGGAACCGAAAACTGTTTCCTCATTTGCTATTGAGATATCTAGTTTTTCTGGTGTTCGCTGAATTTTGTTCGTCGGTTCGATGAACAGTCTTCTCATCAATAATGATGGTACGAATCTCTGAGAATTTTGGTGAAACACGATTGTTGTTTAAAAAAAAAGACATTTGCAGCTTAAAAAAGCGAAACCAAAATTCCTGTCAGCGTAATCACTGACCAGAGTATTTTTTGCAATGCATCTACGTCGCTCACATACGTGAGCACCGAGCACTCTGCGTGACTGCGTATTTTTGGGCTGGCTCTGAGAGCGATCGGAAGTGATGTCTGGAACGCCGCGCAGTCTCGTACAGTCGCCGCCAGGGTAGGTAGTGTGCTGAGTTGCTCCACCGACGTGACCTGTTGCGTCAGACATCGCAACAAAAAGGAACATTTAGTGATACATTCATAAATTCTTTGCGACGCTAATGAAGAATGATGTTTTTATTTGCGGCAGCTAATTATTAAATTTACCGATTTTACTCAGATGTTGACTTTTACTGACATTATAGTTGCATTTACTATTCACGACGCTTGTTCTTTCCGCAGAAGCAAACAATCTTGCGTTAAAATGATTTAAACTTGTTGCGAAAGAACTTGATCTGTTCAAATAAACTTTCTGGTCAACTCGCGGAGAATTTTTAAAATGTTTATAGCTATAGTTTTTGATTCAATCATCTCTAAGATTTGGCAGTATCACACTGAACATTGAAACTGTACCTCGTGGCATCGGAACCTGCATTGATTGATTACTGCAGATGAAATTATGAAAGATAGAATTGGCCTGGACTATGTAATGTGGAGTTTGCGCAAGATCAACTAAGACTCTTAGACATCGCTCTGCCTCGCAGTTCAGGTAGCACATCATATAGGATCACTTTGTATCTGAGACTGGAGATGTTCGATGGGAGAAGTTCAGTTTTTAGAGTAATTTAATGTTAGTTGGAGTAAGTTCAGTGATCGTTTTAATTTTTATTCTATCCTTCGAAACCTCTTGTCATCTTATGCTTCCTTATCATACGATTCCGTGAAAAATAGACGAGTTTGTTTAAAACTTTAATTAATCTGTTGATGACGCAACTCAAGCTATTTCGACAACCGTTTCATGAGGTGAGGGAACTAGCTCGAGATAACCCCGAAAAATAATATAACCTATAATACATCTAACTTATACATCAATTTGCGATAATATTTCTCACGGAACTTTCTTGATTCTCCCGCCTCTCTAAAAATCTATATAAAACGTTTTTTCGATGCCTATCAAATAGAAAAAGAATGCAGGAAAAATTTTTTCGAGCGAACTCAATTTTGGATTCGAGCCTATGATGCGGACATGACCGGATGTTACACACATTCTGGTTTATAGAGTTCACAGAACCTATCCTACTGGAGGAGTCCCTTAGCGATACTTCTGGGCTGAAATATACAATAGATTTAACTGATGCAATCATGATTTAATAATAATAAGAATAGCGGTTTCAGCGTTAATTAGGCCGTAGGCCTGTCGCCGATTCTTAACATCGCAGAACATTCTTAGCTCGTTGTTGTCTCGAACTCGCAACTCACTGCTGCAATTCTGCTGTGCTAAACCGCCCGGCCTCCTTGCCGATTCTGACCGGAAACTGGCGCACAGAGCTGGGATCGAACCCGCGCCTCTCGCCAATCCTGGTACTCTGAAGTGTAAGCGCTGGAATAACAACATATAATACGTCAGTATATCAGTATTCATTTTGTTTGTATCACAATACAAGCGCCCACGTAGTGGTGGCCACGCATATCATTGGCTAATCAAGTACAGTGTATAAAACATCGACGATGACACTCTACATGAATTAATCTTAGAAAAAAATTTCCCCCATTTACGATAATCACGCAAAATATTCGATAAAGTTCAAGGTTCAGTGTAAAAGCTCATCATGAATTGGTCTATTACTCAGTGAAATTCCTCGGCGATCGTTTCAAAATGTAGCTCTCCTCGAGTCCAAACAACTAATTATTCATTATAGAATCTATTATTTAGTTATTAGATTTATTAGAACTAGATTAGAACCTATTATAGAATCGAGTCCCAACAACTAATTATTTATTATAGAATCTATATGCACTGAGTCAGAATACCTGCCGCTCTATCGGCCCCAGGCAACATCAGCTCCGTTTTCTTAAATATTCCCGAGAAATTAAGTATCTTGACTTTTAAGCGCTTGCATGCTATGTTCATTTGTTGTGCGGCAATAAAAAACACTGAAGGAGTTGAATGCGTGACAAATCAAACACTTGAGCGAATGAGGCGCAGCGTCATGCAATTAAAAATATTGAAATAGCAGCGTAATTTAACCCAGATCTAAAGAAAGCGTGGTTGAAAATCCCCTTCTTATTTCAATTGATATTGCGTAGTTGCAGCTCACTTCGATTTCATGCAAAGATTAGAACAAAGCTCATACAATTGGTTATACAAATTTGTCAATATTCGAGCCAGTTTCGGATCTACGTGGATCTTCGGCGTTAGTTAGATAAATTAATCAGGCGAGGTGACAGCTGGATGGACGGGCTGCAGGCCTCCGAACTGACTGTTCGATGGACAGACTACAGGCCTCCGACCTGACTGTTCGATGGACAGACTACAGGCCACCGACCTGACTGCTCGATGGACAGACTACAGGCCACCGACCTGAGTGCTCGATGGACAGACTACAGGCCACCGACCTGACTACTCGATGGACAGACTACAGGCCACCGACCTGACTACTCGATGGACAGACTACAGGCCACCCACCTAACTGCTCTATAAATAGGCTGCAGGCTACCGATCAGTTGAGGTGGATGTCACGGATCAAGGAGAAGGACGAGGCATTCGAAAATGATTATTTCCAGCGTCTGATAAGTATAAAGTTATATTCTATGTGGAACTAAAAGCCTTCCGCAAATCTTTGCTAATTTTCTTCTCTCAGATAAGGAAACATCAATTGATAAGAATGAGGGAGTTGATATCTGCGAATATATTTATATTGTGTTTTTAATTAGTCCTGCGATACCGGATTTAAACAATCTTCTCGATCTAGCGTGTAAGCATGTAACATCATTGATGTCATGCATGCTTCAGGCATACTAGCATTTTTTATTGTGCTTCCTTGCCATGCAGCATGCAAGATAATTGATAATATGTTAGGAAATAAAATCTTAACTTTTCATTTCAGATTTGATCGTTTTTGAACACCGTCTGTTGAAGGAACTTTCTTCCGTTAAGAAAGTTGAAAATGGCTGTAACATAGGCTGCCTGTTTTTAAAATTTCATTGAATATTCAATTTTCTCCAGCTGTAAGCCCACTTCATTCAAATACGTAAAGCAAGTTCAATTTTTTGCTTTGAAATTAAATCAACTATTTCATTTGGCTTTAAAAAGTCCTGGTCGGATCTAAATTGCATATCATGTCTATCTATAACATTGAAATACACGAGTTGATTTTGCCGGTATTGCAGGAGGCTTTCATAGCATACAGTGTTGACCTAGTGTGAAAACCTTGCATTGACAGGCGAAGGTCAGAGGGCCGATTAAGATCCAAAGATAACCCTCCTCATATTCTTATGATTATTTGTATGCGTATTTTTTCTGAAATATTCACGGAATCTGTTTGTCAAGGTATGTATTGGAATACTTCAGGAGCCGTAATTTAAAATAATTTATTTGTTTCTCAGAGCTTGAAACATTACTGATGGACCACTTTTACAAATATGTCCCGTGATTATGAAGATATTTTTGTTATAGAAACTAACTTCAAAATTAGTGAGTTGGAACTCTTCCTTAAGAACAGAACAAAAGGTACACAAATTTTTGTAGTCGTGCTAAAAATGGGCCTTACTAAGTCATCCAAAGTATGCAATAATTTGCACTCGAGATCACCGCACGAATCCAACTGCAATGTGAATTAATTACAACATGAACATCGTAAAGCTGTGCGAGCAAATAGAGATGAAATATTTGATCATGAAGGATGAATAATTTTAAGTTTGCTTGTAGAATATAAAAAAATCAAGCCCGCTGGGCACGATGCTGCCGTTCGAGTTGGCGTCTGTTTGCTGCAAGGACGCAAGAATGGCCCTCCTGAAAGCGGAGAGAAGCGACCCACTCGAGCCATCAGTGCGCGTTGGCGATGAAACAGATCCACCAGAAAGGGACTCAGACAATTGGGACGCTTCCTCCGGTAAGAAAATGTCCCGCAACCCGGTGGTGGCCTGCCAAGCGGTACTTCTCAGCGATGGTAATGTTGAGAACAAGAAGATTACCTCGGGGGAGAGCTGTGAGCTTGAAATATCGCGCGGCATTCATTTTTCGAATGAAATTTGTAAGATAGGTAATGGATTTACAAATTTACTCCACAATGTCCAAACGTTGAGTCCAGACCATCAGTTAAATGCTGACGAAGTTGACGAAATCGAAACAAGAACAATTCATGCATTAAACTCTAGCGAGGCCGTGTCTGTGCACGTAAGTGACTATAGTAAAAAAATTATTCCACTCGCTGAGAACAGTATTCTTCCGCATTTGAATTCTATGAACTCTGTTGGCAGTGAGAACTGTGAGAAAAAGAAACAAGAGGAAGATAGCAGGCTTAGTCTGAACGATGAAGATCGTCGCGATAATTTGCATTGCCAGTTAATTACTGCACCCAGGGGTAGAAGAAACAGTGTTCTACAGAGACAGCAAAATATTGACACTGATGCGACAGAAATTTCCGAACAGCTTCCTGGTGAGGAATCTTATGTTTCGAATCTTAAAGAGAAAAACACATCAGCGCGAAATGTTTGCACCGTTTACAGAAACGGAAACTTAAAGAAAAAAGAAAAACGCGAACAAATAGGTCGTAAAATAATAAATAGTATTATTAGAAGCGCAAGTTTCAACGAGCGTTCGACTCCGAAACTTGAACGAAACGCTTTCAAGTCGTTAACATGCAGCCACGGACCATACGCCTCCGAGGAAGAAGAAGACCTAGGAGGATGTGGTCCTTCAGGTCGCAGAGACCGCGATGGCTTACGCTGCCGGGAGGTTGGAACCTCGGTCAACAGGAGCTACAGTAATGAAGACGACAAATGCCGTAACGGGAACAATCTCCTGACCGTCTACAATGACCGTAAAAATGTAAAAATACGGCAGAGCTTATCCGCTGACAAAGAGAACTGCACATGCCGGTCAAACAATACTGGGAAAGATAGACGGACCATCCGCAAGCTGGTCTTCAGTAATTCAGTGGACGTGTGTCCTGGACCAGCAACGCCAGGATCTGCTCCAAAATCTGCAGGAGTTGATAACGAATCTCCTTTGCAAACTCCGTCGTATGGCACCAAACGCTCTAAGTACAATACGTTTAACGCCATTTTTTCGAGCAACAACCTTTTAGAGCACCTTCAATCCAATTCTGGCGTTGGGGTCTTCTCTTCTCGAAAACCAACGCAACGAAGTTTGCATTCCACTTGCGACGGTTCGAGTTCATCTTCTCTTATTAGGGATTCTTCAAGTTCCATTTCTTCTTCCAACGTAGCGTCTGGTGCCAACATTAATGAGCAGGACGATACCCTTCCAAAACTGCCAAAATTTTCGAAAATTAAAGTGCCTTCCAGTCTGAGCCTGGTGCCCGGCAAGTCGGTGAAGTTATCACCCAAGAACTGCTACAGACTCGTCATCCTGGGATCTTCCAAAGTCGGCAAATCTTCTTTGGTTTCAAGGTGAGTGCTTCATTTATAACATCTTAGATCTCTATGGTATTCATATAAGTAAATCATACTTCTAAATTGGAAATATATCTTATATTTTTTACTATCACTGATATACTAAAATTATGGAATCGTGAAAAATGTTTTGATCTCTCAGTGACTTGTCGAACAAATGTTGTGTAGTCTATTCACTCAAAATTGCAATAAAATGACCTGTTTTTCTCTAATATATATATAGCAAGATCAAAGTTGAATGAAGTCCACGATTATTATTTTGCTCGCTCAATATTCGGTGATCACAGTTCTGATCTCTTAGTTACGTCTGTTGCGAAAACTTATTCGAAGGGATAATTATCTGTTTAATGTAAACGTCGATTAATTATAATTAAACGTGTTGCTTAAAAATTCATAAACGACAAACTCAAGTGTTTTTCATCCATTAATCAAACGCTATGAACATAATATCTATGCAGAACTCTCCAATTCCTTGTACAGAAGAAATGATCTCGACACTGGCCTAACCGTAACAAAGAAACGGAGTAGTTTCTTGGCCCTATTGAAACGTGCAAGTTCAAGCGCCTTGGTATTATATACTCTATGTAGTACAGAAGCTCAAGTTAACTATCATGCTGTTTAAAATGTTTTGTAATTTTTTATGGAAATTTACCTACTAATATCTGTTTACTATTTAAAATAGTTGTACTAATTACTCGCTCAGAGCTGAACCACTATGTCATCGATAATTATAACTTACGATAACGTACGATAATAACTTTGAATTAGTGTCCTAGGTGGGCACAGGATGTGCACCTGGGCCTATACTTTCAAAAAAAGTTAAGAGATCGTATGTTCATCAGCCGATCATTGACGGCTTTTCAGGCAAAATCCACCAATCATAGACAAGAAAATAGAGTGTAAGTACTTACGTTCACTTAGCGAGGTTTGAAAGCATGGCCCCTAGCTGCAGCTGGCCACTTGTTGCCAACCGATCTAGAAACTACATGGAGACAACACAGCCGAGTCAAAGATTTTAATGCTAAATATTTATGAGGTACTTAAAAACAGTACATGAAGAAATTATGCAATACCCGACTTCATACAGCGTCCCTGGGATAGTTCAGTAATTCTATCGTATCTCGTATGAGGCCAAAATCTGAGATAGATCAGTGCGTGTTGTGATTTGCTGACGCTTGATAAGTTCCAGTTCGGTTGCCGTGTCCTCAGATCCCTCGCTATAATCGCTACCTTCGTCTCAGTTTGCAGTGACAATCACAAGCTCCGGGTCCCCACACCCATAGTTACCTTCGTCCTACCCCTGCCATCAACGCAGTAACGAACCTCGGGCCACACGATCAACAGTAATCGCAATCTGGCATAATCAGACAGCCAATTAGCATTCACGATTTCATGTGAGTCTTTCATTCGTAATTGTTGAAGCCATTTTAACAATCCTCATTGAACACGCGATAGCAAGAAATATCCAAAAGATCCAATACTTCCCATCACGAAGCCTTGGACTAATAATACAGCAGGTACTGCGCATATTTTTTTCAAGTGAAGAGACCTCTGATGTGACGGGAGTCGGGGTGACGGGTTTCCGGTTGACAGGGTTCGGTGTGACACCTCTCGGAATATGGGTTAATAGAAATAATCCGGAGGAAGTTATTTGTGTATGATATGATAACTGTATTTGAACAAAGTTCTGACAGAGCGCGGGTAAACTTTGGATAATGCTCTTAACAAAACTAGGATTGAATTGTGATATATTTCACGTTTTAAATCAATAAATCATGAAGCGGTTGGTCTTTGCTCAACTAGGTCTAGGGCGTGGTCTTTGCTCAACTCGCTGTTATTTGGAAGGAAATTTGCTTGTGGCTTGATTTTGATGAGCCACTTCGTACACGTCCGTCATCAAACGAAGATGCTCATTACTCGCGCGATTATGTTCCTTAGAGAGGATTAACCTGTTCGAGCTCCTAAGGTTATCAACTCCTAAGACTAAGGTTCGAGCTCCTAAGTCTGGAAGGTTATGTACCAACGATACTGCACCGTAGGCCGGCTCCACAAACGAATTCTTAAGCGAAATGTTGAAATAAATATCGAAGATGATAATCGTCTCCCTCATTAAGAATATTTCATCATCAGAAGTTGGTTGAAATAATTTAAATGAGCAAACTTCATTCTGCCAAATTACACTTATGAGAGGGGTCGTCTGAGCGAAGATCATGCGATTATCGAAAATTCATAAATAATTAGCGAACACACACACATTTATTTAAATAGGTATGGAATTCAAAATTCCAAAACCACAAACGCTGAAATTGTGGGTGAATTTCTAAATTTGCCAACCTATCCTGGCAATAAACAGGAAGTGATTGCTTTCCGTTGACTCATTAGTTTCGTTTTCTAAATATTCACGAAATTAATGAACGCGAGGCTTGTGCACGAGGTCTCGAGCTAAGCAGTGCAATATTTTTTTCTGCTCGAGAAGAGGAAAGTTACAATTTCTCGAGCGTACGTAAATTATTATGGGATCGTGCCGACTCATGACTCGAAGTTTTAAAGATGATTAAAGAAAATCTCTTTAGGAAGCGACAGTCTGGTGTAAATTCCAGGATTATTTTGACACAATTTGTCACAATTGTTTCAAATTAAAGTTCGTTTTCGATGTTTGCCTCATGAAGTCGCCATATGATATTGTTACGTAGTCGAAAAAATGTCATGCGGTGTGTCAATTGTCTATTGATAGCGGGACTTCGTTTACGAACCGTCATGCGCAGGTCGGGTGTCTGTGTCCGTGCAATGTGTTCGGCCTTTAGTCTGAGTTCCCAAACTGAATAGTTGGAATAATCGCGGAAAAACTCTGAAGCTAATTTTTTTTAGAAGGGTTCGTTCAGCGATGAGCGAAGATAAAACAATATATGTTTATTGGTATCTTTTGACACAAATTTGAAAAGGATTTGCAAGTACAAGTCCAAGAAATTCTTAGGCCATTGTTGAACAATTATCAGTGAATCAGATCATACTGAAAGGTGCATTTCCTCATTTCAATACGGGATGACACTTAGCTGATGCGTTTATATTTTAGTCGCATCCTATATTAAGACTTATAAACTTTAGCCAGCTGTGTCTCACATATGCAAATGTTAATGGGACTCTCACAAATGACTCACGGAACATTACTGTTGTGAGGTAGAGATCGTGTTCACCTCAAGACTTCTCTCCAGCTTTAATACATTGAATCAGTTGGCTTAAATTTGCCTACAACGGCTTACAATTTATTCACACGATTCATCAAGCGTTGACGTACAGTGTTTTGTATTTTAATAAGATGATTAAATTTGATCATAAATAAATATGATACAGCTTAATAAATTTCCTTTTCAGGCTCATTTTCACCTCGATGAATTGGTCCAGGACAAACTATCTATTGATCAGGAGTTGTTTAATAAGTATGTACTCATCTAAATGCTGATCACGATCAAACGAACACAGTAGAAATTAATCGCGTACGCACGCCTCTCTTCTACATCTCTCATATACTCGTATCTTAATATTCAATGTATAAAAAACTTGCTATCCAGACCATCGTTCCGTTACAGACGAATCGTTCAAACTTCTTGGTTCGCTTCAGTGCATATTAATTGTGACGCAGAAAGAAGTAAAAGATTCCTTGTCTTGAAGTGATAATGCATAACAGTGCTCCCTCGCTGTTGCCCCTACATGCGACGCTATTGTTATGCTTTTGTTGTGCTATTGTTTTGCTATTGTTATGATTTTGTTGTGCTATTGTTATGTTATTGTTTTGCTATTGTTATGATTTTGTTGTGCTATTGTTATGTTATTGTTATGCTATTGTTATGCTATTGTTATGCTATTGTTATGCTATTGTTATGCTATTGTTATGCTATTGTTATGCTATTGTTATGCTATTGTTATATTATTGTTATGCTATTGTTGTGCTATTGTTATGCTATTGTTTTGCTATTGTTATGCTATTGTTGTGCTATTGTTATGCTATTGTTATGCTATTATTTTGCTTTTGTTATGTTATTGTTATATTATTGTTATGCTATTGTTGTGCTATTGTTATGCTATTGTTATGCTATTGTTGTACTATTGTGATGCTATTGTTATACTATATTTATGTTATTTTTCAATGCAATGCCCCTCGAGAAGCCGTTTGCAAAACGTGGTAGAGGGATTGACTGAAATTGTTAGTTTTGAGACAAAAAAGTTCGAGGAATCATCTTTGTTCATGAACATGCATCGTTGCAATCGTTTGTTCACACATCTTCAGTACGCACATACTGTATTAAGAACACACATCGTTAAGGGGAGCGTCTAGGGTAAAGTTTATCTCGGCTATTTACTGACGGATCACTCTAAAACTTGGTACACGTATGTAAAACAGAAATCTAAGACTTTTTTGTTCATGTTAATTTTTCGAAAAAAAGAAAGAAAACGGCAAAAAAGGGGCCACCGTAGAAATCTATCTCCTCCTACGATTTTCAAGGTACAACATCGAGACACATATCATTCGATGCGTAAAGACCATATGAAACGCTGTACGCGTTTTCGGAAATTCTCGTTTTTGTGGGTGCGGGGCATTTTTCGTAAATTTTTCGTAATTTTTTTTATTCTACCCCCCCACACCCCCCTTTTTGTAGAATAAAATCCAAACTATAACGAAATTAGAGAAACGCCTACAGCGATTTGTAGATCTTTTTCTTGCGCATCGAATGATGTATGTCTTATTGTTGTAGCTTCAAAATTCTAGGAGGAGATAGGTTTGCCGTGAGAGAGGTCTTCACGTTTTCAAACTTTTCAGTTGAGGCGAAAAACCGCGGCGCGCTATGTAGAGGCATGTAACGTAGCGTAGATACCGAAAGTAAGCGTTATCTCACTTCAAAGTCAGTCAGCGGTGCATAGGACGACTACTTCAACACCTTTTCGCATGATGGCTGAGTAGTAACTGAGAAGCAAATCCAGTGATCGCATATTTTATAGGG